ATTCAAAAATTCAATCGACCACCTATTACTCTTGGGACTATTTTTACTTAAGGACAAATACAAGATAACTGATATTCGGAGCATTGTTGAGCGCCTCCTAATCAAAATTTACCCCTCTTCAACAGAAAGCTTATTGAATCGTTTTTCCCTTTCATCCATGCTCTGTATGTGGTTCATCCTAAGCGAAAACATCTAATTGGTCCCTTTACCTAACATGAAAACCATAAGGGTATATTTTCCGAAAACAAAAAAGCTTGTTCGCTGAACAATTTCTGGAAAACTACTTTTGAGGAATTTTTCTGATAGGTCTTCTACTTTATGTAACCTGCTCATATCTAGAAGTTGTTAACCACATGAAGCAATCACTCACCTTTCTTTTGATATATCATGTCAACTCCTTTCAAACTAAAAAAACTTGTCCCCAGGTCATATTTACAATATCATTCTGCTAAAATATTGTGCAGGCAGCAGGCTAAATGAAAGAATTGCAGAATCACAATGTTCAGCCCCATTCATCCTCCTATGCAAAAAGAAAAAAGGTACAGATCTAGTTTCATTCTGTGGACCACCACTAAAATATCTAGAACACCCGCACAAATGGAAAAGCGATCACGTGACATGAAATAATCATCAGTGGACATATGTATTGGAGAGCTACATTCGACAAGACGTGGTATTACCTCTTCCAAATGGTGGCCATAGCCTCAAGCACTTAGAGGTACACTCGAGAACCCTCAAATGTAATAGTATTGAGTGATAAGAAAAGACTGACTTCGGCATTGGGTACATTCCAATGAGATTTAAATGGGCTCATGATCCGATAGGCTATAAGCGTGTTGAATAAAATCCAAACTACTGTCCTTCCAAGGTAACTTAACCTTCTCAAAATATATAGAGCTACATGGATTGGTGGCTAGAACTAGAGACTTTGCTAAATGCTCTACTAGTATGCTCACGCTAATGTAATTATGATCACCTTCATTCCACTAGAGAAAAAGATAGCGCGTACAATTTGGGCATCTTCTGATATAGCCAAGTCAATGATGTGTTAAACAATGATGTGTGGGAATTCTAGGCTTCTGCGCTAAGGAGAAAATAGTGTTGGGCAACTGTCTCATGCACGGCAACTGCCCCAGACTGCAAAGTCGCCTTGCATATAAACAGTGGTAGAACCCAAACAGCAAAATTCTCATACACAAAGCTACTATTTTACTTCTTTGAAATTACTGCTACAAAATTGTCCCTATATCACTCACTTGCTCTAAGTTCTCACCAATCCACTCTTTCTTCCAACCCCTTGGTGTTACTATGGTGTTAGTTCCTCCTCAAGTCCTTTAGTTTGTTAGCTACACATTTGATGTCAAATTTTAATGCATAACAAAATCCCAAAAGCATAGTGTTATCTACTGTATAATATGAAGTCGATCTATGTTACTTACAAGGACTCTGTAATGCATAATGTATTCGTACCAGACACTCGACACTTCGGTGCATAAGAGTATGGGATATGAGTTAGACATGTTTAGTTGGACAATCACCTAGAAAACTATTTAGTAATTTGAGTTTACCATAGAAATATGCATAATCTCATATTATTATACATAAAATCCTCAATGGCACCTTGTCCAGACCATTACCATAACAATTAAAAAAACAAACATATTAAATATATCCTATCAAGTGTCAGTCAACCAAAACACCCATTAAAACCCCAAACAATGCCCATCTCAATGGCTGCATACCAGCAGCTTCAAACACCACCATCAAATATAAAAATTAAGCAACTCTTTTCCAATCACCATCCCAATATCATCTCCAGATTCATCTTTGCAATAAGTAGGGGTGTAAAAACATCTTGGGCCGGCCCACTCATGCAAAATCTCAACCCAAATAACCTATACCAAAAAGTCAAAGATTCTCTTTTCTCTCTACTTTTTGCACATCTTTTGGTAAAAAGCCAAAAAGTCATCCCAAACATACTAGTTTTTTTTACATCATATTTTAGCCAAAAAACCAAAAAGTTACTAAAAAAGCAAGGAACCCTATATGAATCCAAAAAAACAACTATATGGATCCAAAAGAATAACTATATGAAACCCTATTGAATGGCATACAATATAGTTTACCACACTGCCCAAGAAGTGTAGTAGACTAAATTGCCCACGAAGGTGAGTACACGAAGAATCCAAAAATAAAAAGTCATTGGGCAAAATAGTTGCCATTCAAAAATTCAATCGACCACCTATTACTCTTGGGACTATTTTTACTTGTGGACAAATACAAGATAACTGATATTCGGAGGATTGTTGAGCGCCTCCTAATCAAAATTTACCCCTCTTCAACAGAAAGCTGATTGAATCGCTTTTCCCTTTCATCCATGCTCCGTATGTGGTTCATCCTAAGCGATAACATCTAATCGGTCCCTTTACCTAACATGAAAACCATAAGGGTATATTTTCCGAAAACAAAAAAAGCTTGTTTGTTGAACAATTTTTGGAAAACTGCTTTTGAGGAACTTTTCTGATAGGTCTTCTACTTTATGTAACCTGCTCATATCTAGAAGTTGTTAACCACATGAAGCAATCACTCACCTTTCTTTTGATATATCATGTCAACTCCTTTCAAACTAAAAAAACTTGTCCCCAGGTCATATTTACAATATCATTTTGCTAAAATATTGTGCAGGCAGCAGGCTAAATGAAAGAATTGCAGAATCACAATGTTCAGCCCCATTCATCCTCCTAAGCAAAAAGAAGAAAGGTACAGATCTAGTTTCATTCTGTGGACCACCACTAAAATATCTAGAACACCCGCACAAATGGAAAAGCGATCACGTAACATGAAATAATCATCAGTGGACATATGTATTGGAGAGCTACATTCGACAAGACGTGGTATTACCTCTTCCAAATGGTGGCCATAGCCTCAAGCACTTAGAGGTACACTCGAGAACCCTCACATGTAATAGTATTGAGTGATAAGAAAAGACTGACTTCGGCATTGGGTACATTCCAATGAGATTTAAATGGGCTCATGATCCGATAGGCTATAAGCGTGTTGAATAAAATCCAAACTACTGTCCTTCCAAGGTAACTTAACCTACTCAAAATATATAGAGCTACATGGATTGGTGGCTAGAACTAGAGACTTTGCTAAATGCTCTACTAGTATGCTCACACTAATGTAATTATGATCACCTTCATTCCACTAGAGAAAAAGATAGCGCGTACAATTTGGGCATCTTCTGATATAGCCAAGTCAATGATGTGTGGGAATTCTAGGCTTCTACGCTAAGGAGAAAATAGTGTTGGGCAACTGTCTCATGCACGGCAACTGCCCCAGACTGCAAAGTCGCCTTGCATATAAACAGTGGTAGAACCCAAACAGCAAAATTCTCATACACAAAGCTACTATTTTACTTCTTTGAAATTACTGCTACAAAATTGTCCCTATATCACTCACTTGCTCTAAGTTCTCACCAATCCACCCTTTCTTCCAACCCCTTGGTGTTACTATGGTGTTAGTTCCTCCTCAAGTCCTTTAGTTTGTTAGCTACACATTTGATGTCAAATTTTAATGCATAAAAAAATCCCAAAAGCATAGTGTTATCTCCTGTATAATATGAAGTCGATCTATGTTACTTACAAGGACTCTGTAATGCATAATGTATTCGTACCAGACACTCGACACTTCGGTGCATAAGAGTATGGGATATGAGTTAGACATGTTTAGTTGGACAATCACCTAGAAAACTATTTAGTAAATTGAGTTTACCATAGAAATATGCATAATCTCATATTATTATACATAAAATCCTCAATGGCACCTTGTACAGACCATTACCATAACAATTAAAAAACAAACATATCAAATATATCCTATCAAGTGTCAATCAACCAAAACACCCATCAAAACCCCAAACAATGCCCATCTCAATGGCTGCATACCAGCAGCTTCAAACACCACCATCAAATATAAAAATTAAGCAACTCTTTTCCAATCACCATCCCAATATCATCTCCAGATTCATCTTTGCAATAAGTAGGGATGTAAAAACGGCTCGGGACAGCCCACTCGTGCAAAATCTCAGCCCAGGCCCAAGCCGAGCCTGACATTTTTTCCACCAAAATAGCTTGAAAATGACGTCAGGAAGGCCGGGTCTTGAGCGGGCCGATTTTCTGGGCCGGGTCAGAAAAACACACAAGCCAATCATATGCCCGAGGTTCGGGCTGGGTTCGGCCTCGGACAAGCTTCAGGCCGGCAAGCCATTTTACACCCCTAGCATTAAGCCTATTTTTTTTATTAACTTCAAAACCATCAACATTGATAATTACTATCATTCCATAACTTATTGTCATCTTGGCCACAACCCTAACTTAACACATCTGCCCCACCCAGTTCTCTCTATTCTCTAAAACTCAACATCCAATGAACCTTCAAATTCAAATAAGCTAACACATTCATGTCCCAAAAAAAGATTCATCCACACAGAATTAGATGTAGCTCAAACATTGGAATTTTCATTACTATTGCACTATATATATAGCAAAAGAACTTAAACAAATCAAAACCTACATGACGGACAAAGAAAGCTCAACTACTCAACCAAACAAACAACCACCATAGTGTTACATGCAAGTACCATCAAACACAACAAATATATATAAGAAAAAAAAACTTCCTAGATGACCAATGATATAAAGTTCTTATGATTTCTTCGAGAGTTGAAATATCTTACGAGCACAATATTATCAAAAAGAAAAAGAAAAAAGAAGATAAACAACAAATCTTATCCCATACAACTCCTAAAGTTCATATTTATCATCGAAAATCTTGAATCTCTATCCAACCAAATAAACCACAGCATGCAATTCCAAAGATCAAAGACATTCTCAGAACAAAAATGAATAGTAGTGCAAAACAACAATACAGAACTATCCAATAACAATCTATAACTAAGCGTTAAAACTACAAGGCAATGAAGAAACAAATTATCAAACCTCTAAGCCTTTGGTTTAATCCGACAAAGGTAGATCCTTATGTCTGCAGCTATTGGAGCATACAAAGAAACTTGGAAGATCTCAAATTCAGTAGCAGCAGGATCCTTAGCAGCAAACGTAATATAATACACCAGGCCACTGACCACCCGTGCATTTGCCTTGTGGACCTTCACAAACTGGAAATTTGTACTCTGCATTTTAAGAAGAAAAGTTCAATAGGAGTAAATAAGAGTGATAACAATTAAAAAAACACAAACACAACTCCACATACATTTTTCAAGTTGAATTCGGCAATTGCCCTCTTTGAATAGCGTTCAAGCTTCTTACGAAGGCTCTTGTTTAATTTCTTCAAAGGTCGTATAACACAATAGGAACAAGGGTGGAAAGCTTCAACATCAAACCCCTGTACAAATATACAAGATATAGCAGAAAATTGAAATATGATACAGGAGATGAGAGAGACAGTTAATTAAGAAAAAATAAAATAAAATAAATGATAATTATATATAAAATATAATATAATGTATATACATAATACTATCATATATGAAAACCTGACTTGGTGTGGCTCCATCATGCTAATAATCCCCCCCCCATGGCTAATTTGCCCTCAAAAAAGTCATGCCAAGATGACTCATTCTTACTTTTGTTTTCTTTAACATAAAGGGGTAAAAATGTAATATCAAATCAAAACCCACTTTTAAAGAAAACTGTTACGCCTCAGATTTTAAGAAGCTAATTTGATGGAAACTAATTAAACCTTAGCGTAATTGTTTTATCAAAAAAAAGGTCCAATGTCCATCATTAGTGCCAAAACGTATTCATTTCCTGACTTAGACAAAAAAAAAATTCCAATTTGTCTCACAAAACGACCCATTTAAATAACTCAAGTGAAAGCACTAAAATCATGAATTAAGTATATAAATGGTGTCTAAAACCGATCTTCACTAGTTTCGAGTTGTTTGGAGGGGGTTGAGGGTTGTCCTCTCTTTCCTTCTCTTGTATTTTGAGAGGAACTCCAAGTAAATCCCATGGGAGGGAGATCAGTCAAGGAAGAGAAAAAGCTGAAGCTGAAAATGAGAGAGGGAAAGCCTCTCGGCTGACAGAGAGGTTGCTGCCTCTTGTTTTGTGTACAGAAAGGAAAATGTTTTCCACCCCTAATTTTGGACCACCAAATCAACACCTAGTGAAGTATTATAAGTTACATCATTTGAAAATCCCACTAAAACATGAAAATTATTCAATGAATGATTGTCATGTCATTAGGAGTTGGTATTAAAGGTCCAAAATTAATGAGATGTTGCATTACTCATACAGAAATTAGATACAAAAGTAAGACCACAAGGTGTAAGGCTTGGCCACCAACTATTCAACCTAAACACTTGTCAAAAGCCCACTGGCTAAGGAGAGAGGAGACATGAAATATCTTGCTACAATGATGCATAAATAAGGTGTATCTCACAACAAAAAATTAAAATTAAAATGAAGGTCACATGGCCTTGTCGAGCCACCAGGTTTGGGGATTAAAGTCTCCAACACAATCAATTTTAATTTAATGGAAAGTGATTTACAAAAGTAGAATTCATAGAATAAAACATTCAAAATGATGTACCAATAGCATTTGTGAAATAATGAGGGGCAATAGTGGGTGTTTCGATCAGTAATGCTACGCACACAGAGGACCAAACACAGAAACTATAGGGCCGGACGACCGGCCAGATGACCAGGTGGTCGATCGGCCAGAGCTTATTGACCGTGGCTCTCATCTTGTCGATTGCGGCTATCATCTTGTCATCCGGTCGACCACCCAGTCACCTGGACGGACGTCCGGCCCTACAGTTTTTGTACTTGGTCCTATGTTTGATCCTCTATGGGCGTAGCATTATTGGTGTTTTGATGGGTAATGAGAGGACTACAAGAAGCCACCTCTTTCTCCATAGAAATTCTGCACAAATTTCTGGTTGTATGTCCTTATTCTAATTTAATTACACAAGTTCAAAACCAAAGAATATAGTAATTTAATTAGACTAGAAATGGTAATGCATTTAATTAATTAATTGTCACTAACAAACAAATAAATAATAATACCCTCTCTTTTCATTTGTTTTTACTTCTTTTTTTCCCGTCTTTACACGACGTAGCCACACAGTTCCAACTCTCAATCACAAAAGCAACACAATCAATAAGAATCTCCAACTTTTATCATTAATTTCTTCAAATTCCAAGTTCTTAACTCTTATTAGCAAGTTATCAAAATAAAATCAAGAGATTAAGAAGAAAAATTGCAAAAAATTTAATTTATAAATGTTGTAATATATATATATATATATACACACACGTACCCCGCTCTCCTCGACCTGTTTGCTGTACCTCAAACTATCCTCATGCGTCATCTGAAATTGCTGTTCTATCTCAAAACCCTTGTAGCGAAACAATTTAACCTTGTTGTCATCATCATCACCCAATTTCTGCGTTTTCAGCGATGGTTGTTTTTGTTCCGGAGAGGTTTCGGATCCAGGGGTACGAATAGCAGACATCTTTGACAGATTTTCGAAGGGTACGAGGTATTTGAGAAATTTGAGTTTTGGGGATGGCTATTTGTAGTTGGACACCAATCGGTGACACGCAAAATTATGGGTTGAATGGCTCGAAATATTTAAAATCACGTTATTTTGGATGTAAAATGTTGTCGATTTGACATATTTGAGTTATACAAAAATTGGAGTTATCAAATATTTTCCTCTGTAGTTATATTTGACCTAAAATAGCCACTAAAATAAAATATTTAATTATATTACTTTTTATGTTAAATTAAAATTTGATTTTGATTTTTGAGAATTTACTTTTTAAAAAATAAATTTTGATTTTGATTTTTGAGAATTTACTTTTTAAAAAATAAATTTTGATTTTGATTTTTGAGAATTTACTTTTTAAAAAATAAATTTTGATTTTGATTTTTGAGAATTTACTTTTTAAAAAATAAATTTTGATTTTGATTTTTGAGAATTTACTTTTTAAAAAATAAATTTTGATTTTGATTTTTGAGAATTTACTTTTTAAAAAATAAATTTTGATTTTGATTTTTGAGAATTTACTTTTTAAAAAATAAATTTTGATTTTGATTTTTGAGAATTTACTTTTTAAAAAATAAATTTTGATTTTGATTTTTGAGAATTTACTTTTTAAAAAATAAATTTTGATTTTGATTTTTGAGAATTTACTTTTTAAAAAATAAATTTTGATTTTGATTTTTGAGAATTTACTTTTTAAAAAATAAATTTTGATTTTGATTTTTGAGAATTTACTTTTTAAAAAATAAATTTTGATTTTGATTTTTGAGAATTTACTTTTTAAAAAATAAATTTTGATTTTGATTTTTGAGAATTTACTTTTTAAAAAATAAATTTTGATTTTGATTTTTGAGAATTTACTTTTTAAAAAATAAATTTTGATTTTGATTTTTGAGAATTTACTTTTTAAAAAATAAATTTTGATTTTGATTTTTGAGAATTTACTTTTTAAAAAATAAATTTTGATTTTGATTTTTGAGAATTTACTTTTTAAAAAATAAATTTTGATTTTGATTTTTGAGAATTTACTTTTTAAAAAATAAATTTTGATTTTGATTTTTGAGAATTTACTTTTTAAAAAATAAATTTTGATTTTGATTTTTGAGAATTTACTTTTTAAAAAATAAATTTTGATTTTGATTTTTGAGAATTTACTTCTTAAAATTTTTTTTGTTTTTCATTTTTTTTGTGAGTTTTTTTAATATTTTAAGTAATTCTCTCTCTCACCCATTAACCAAAAAAAAAAAAATTCCTTACAAATTGTAAAAATCTTGTACTACACCCAAAATTAAAAATAATAAAATATTTTTTTTTAAATTATAATAGTTTCAATTGTATTTTTATCTATCTATAACAAAAAGCCTTATCATAGTACGTATTTGTTAGTTTGTTAATTGTAATTCAATTAATTAAAAATGAAATATTAGCACAACATTTCATATATATTATAGCAGTTAATCTGTTATCGCTATAGTTGTAAATAATAGTATAATAGATACAGATAATCTCTTAATATAATTTCTACTCTTTTTTTATGTGATTGAAATAGTCTATAATGGTTCTGGTTTTAGCCTGACCCATTTTATGTTCTTAGATCTGGGATTTTATAACTTTAGCTATTGCTTATACCTTTTCACCTTGTTGTTGGTTGAGTTTGGTTGTTTAGAGTGGTTTTTTGTGTTTGAAATAAATTGGGAATAAGTTTTTCAAAAGAATTGTTGTCCTTGTCTTTTCTTGGTCGTCCAAGTGACGCTTTGATCGCTCGAGCAGTCTTTGCATCCCTTCAGTACTTTTTCAGGTCTGTAAAACTTCTGGGAGTGGATCGAGCTTCGTTCGAGCGAAGCTTTGGTTGCTCGAGCGGTCTTCTTCTATTTGTAAAACTTCTAGAAGAAGGTCATTGTGCACTCGAGCGGAGCTTTGGTCGCTTGAGCAGTCATCCGATTTTGTGTCTTACAATCGAGCGAAGTTTTGGTCGCTCGAGTGGTCTGTGCATATAATAAGTCAGGAGGAAGCTATTTTCTATCTCTTTTTCATCCCTTTCTCTCTCTAAAACTTGCCTAAACCTAATTTCTTCACTTTCTCTCTCTAGTTCTTGATAAAGCCCTCACGTATACCCTAATTGTAGCACTCCATACTTCCTGGTATAATGGAATTACATTTGACTCCTTGCTAATCATGATTGAGAACCTTCTTAGTCGATATTTGAGTCTTGGTTGAGGTGCTACCATAGTAGTTGGCGAGATTGGATTAAAAATTTCAAATTCGAATAGTTGTTATTGGGTAATCTTCACTCTTTTATCATTTTCTCTCTCCATACTTTGAATCTTGATATGAGGCTAGAACCATTGGAAAGCTTACTTTCAGGGCTTCAATTTGAATACAAAAACGACCCTAAACGGAGTTCGGACGAGAGAGTTATACCCGTTTGAAATTTGGGAATCTATGTTCTGTGCATAGTTCACACAAGCGCAAGTTTCACCGCTCGAGCGGTCCATAGACCCTTCCAACTCTGTTTTTCAAAATTATCTGCGATGCTGAAAGCCTTGATTTTTCAGCTATGTTTGACCTATATCATGCATATAAATCAAATGAAATCCTATATGAAATATCAAGACAAAAAACAAAGAAGAAAATTGGTTTAGAGATGATCATTTACTGTAACCCATAAAAAAATATTATTCAAAGGATATGATCAATTTAAAAAAGGGAAAAAAATTCATAAACTCATAACCAAGATCAGATAGGTATCTTTCCCTCCACCTATATGATTCCAATCAACTAATAAACATCACAAAGTTGCTGAGAGAACATGGTATGATTAAAAAGAAGTGCCTACTGTCATGATTTTATTCGTAGGAGCTAAAGTGGAATTTAGTTAAAATGTAGGGGTACAAAGGGAAATTCTATTTCCACACACTAACTTATCTCTGTGCAAATACGTAATGAAATATTATTTTAATAATAATTATAACCTAAAGTAAAATTACTATAATGAACATCAAAACACACTCATAATATTATATCAATTTTTTTTTTTTTGTACTCATCTTTTTAAAACAAAAAAAAAATCTCAATATAAATTTTAAATTAAAAAAAAAAAAAAAAAAAAAAAAACTAAATCCTATTTTCTCCATTGTTTGTCATTTCTTCTGGTACCACTGTTAGTATGTATAAACATGGGTATGGAATCCTTGCCACCAATCCATCTAAACATTCTGATTCCAACATGATTTTGGAAGATCCTTTGCTAGCGAAGTAATGCTGCTCTTTGGCTTGTTTGGAAGTTCACCAATTTTGATAGGTATAAGCAATGTAACCTGACTCACACAGCTAGTTCTTAGAATACTTGTTAGTGAATAAATTGTGTAGTTTTTTAATAGGTGATGAAAAAAAAAAGCGACATTACTTTGTGCATGTAACAAGTGTAACGAGGTATATTCATATTCAAGGGCAGCTATGTGATTCGTGAAAACAATGTGAGTTTTGTTAAATCCTGTAAATATCGTTAAACCCTTCAATTTTTCTTCTCATTTTTCTGGGAAAATCTACTTCTTAATTGAAACAACCCATCTGGGTAATCTCTAATTTTAAACCATCGTTCATAATTGTGTTGAAATGGGTGAGGGGAGTAAAGGTGTGTGGAAGAAGAGTTTAAGTGGTGTGTGTACTAGGATATGAGTTAGGATATAATTAGAACATGAAGTGTGTGAAGTGAGAAGAATAACCAAAAACTAAATTAATAAGTGTGTGCACTGAGAAATAATGTGCACTAAAATAAGTAGGTGTGTGGAAATAGAATTTTCCGGATACAAAGTGTGATTTATCGATTAATTTTCATTCACTGTCCATTCCAAATCAATCAATCAACTCAGTGATTAAATTAAACCCCAAAGAAAGTGGACCCATAAATATACAAACATGTAAATTGAGAAATGAGTAATTTCCTAATTTTGGATTACAAATATGCGTGTTTTGGGTTTGATCACTATCCATTTACATACCTACTACTATTGGGTTTCATTATAGAAATCCGACAAAACAATGTAAAAGAGAAAAATAACAACAGGAAAACAAATGAAACCATATACTCATTACTTACAATTTAGCTTGTTGTCTTATCAACAAAGAAGCAAAAATTGGTTGTAGTATACTTTTAAATGGGCACATGCCATAAATATCAACCCTCCATATTAAACTAATTTTCTTTGATCTCACTCTATGTGGAAAATTTGACCAAAACTCCTCCATTGGGCCATTTTTTGGTGAAAAACATAGTCCATAATTTTTTTTCTTCATAAACCCCCTCACCTGGAGGTTCATACTTGATGGAGGATGCAGAAACATGTTTCTATTTCTTTTTGGACAATCTTGCCCTTCCATATATACATGAAAGATTTGAGTGAGGAGATAAATAAACTGACTTAATGAGCGATATTTTTCTCTGCCACCACCATCAACAACTACTCTTTTCTCTCCTTTCCCTTTCTTTCTTCTTATCAACCACCACCACGCTCCTTATCACCTCTCTTCTATTTCCTCCTATCTCCTGTCTTTTTCCTTTCTCCCATTACAACCTTTCTACCATGAAACCCCTCCCTTACAACCTCTCTTCGCTAACAAGTTTGATGTTGGTCCGGTGATGTTCATAGTGAAGGTTAGTAGCATTGATGGTTGATTTGAAACTACAAAGATTTCCATTTCAATTTATATCCAAATGCCCAACACACAATTACAAAATTATACACATAATACAATCAATTTTCTGGTACTTAATTTTAGGAGTATAAGGAGATGGATGGTTTAGTGATGGTGACTTGGGTGGATTGATGGTGCCAAATTGGGGGGAAGTAAGTATTTTTTATAAATATGAAAGTAAAATTTCATTTTTGGTTGTTGTGGTTGCACTTGTAATATGTATTCTATTTAAATATTTGTTGATGCTCTGTTCAAGAATGGTAGTAAAATTTTACTCTGGTAGTATGTTTTTGACTTATTTTTCTCTTATACAAACTTTATTGTAAAACAGAGTAACATTTTACTGTTACATCAATTTTGTCAGTAACT